CTGCATAGGAGTAAGTTTCAGCTGCTCCACTTTTTAAAGATTTATTTTATTTATTTTTATTGGAAAATCAGGTTTACAGAGAGGAGAGAAAAAGATCTTGCATCCACTGGTTCACTGCTCAAGTAGCCGCAACAGCTGGAGCTGAGCCAATCTGAAGCCAGGAGCCAGTGGCGTCTTCCAGGTCTCCCATCGGGTGCAGGGTCCCAAGACTTTGGGCCATCCTCTGCTACTTTCCCAGGCCAGAAGCAGGGAGCTGGACGGGAAGTGGAGCAGCCGGGATACAAACCGGCACCCATATGGAATCTCGGCGGCATGCAAGGTGAGGATTTAGCCACTAGGCTACTGTGCCAGGCCTCAGATGCTCCACTTTTGATCCAGGAATCCCTGCACATGCAAGGAGAGGATTTACCTACTAGGCATCTGTGTGGGGCCCTCGCTGCTCCACTTTATTATTTTTTAAAGATTTATTTTTATTATTTTTTTATTGGAAAGGTGGGTATACAGAGAGGAGAGACAGAGAGGAAGATCTTCCGTCCGATGATTCACTCCCCAAGTGAGCGCAACGGCCGATGCTATGCCGGTCTGAAGCCAGGAGACTCTGCCGGGTCTCGCACGTGGGTGCAGGGTCCCAAAGCTTTGGGCTGTCCTCGACTGCTTTCCCGGGCCACAGGCAGGGAGCTGGAAGGGAAGTGGGGCTGCCGGGATAGAACCGGCGCCCACATGGGATCCCGGGCGTGCAAGGAGAGGACCTTAACCACAGTGCCACCACGCCAGGCCCGCTGCTCCACTTTTGATCCAACTCTCTGATGTGTCTAGGAAAACAGCAGAATATGATCCAAGTACTCGGGTCCCAGCTATTCACATGGGAGATCAGGATGGAGTTCCTGGCTCCTTGCTTTGGCCTGACCCAGACTTGGCTGTTGCAACCACTTGGGCAAGCCTTTTTCAATGTAACTCTGCTTTTCAAGCACATAAATCTTTTATTAAAAAGCCTAGGAAATTCAACATTTATAGATAAACATTCTCATATATTAGTGGTAGAAATATAGGTTTGTACTATTCTCTGAAATGATATATCAGTCAGTGTGCATCAGAGTCCTTGGAATGTGTGTATTTCTTTGAGACAAAAAGCTTTAATTACAGAAATTTAACTAAAGGGAAGAATCAGAGGTATTTTGAAAATGTAAAAAAAAAAAAAAAGAAGAAGAAGAAACAAAATAAAATAGAATTGTTGATTACCATGTTGAAATGTGCTAAATGGGGCCCAGAATGGTGGCTCAGTCACCAAATCCTTGTCTTGCAAGTGCCAGCATCCCATATGGGTGATGGTTCATGTCCTATCTGCTCTAATTCCCATCCAGCTCCCTGTTTATGGCCTTGGAAAGCAGTAGAATTGCCCAAAGTCTTGGGACCCTGCACCTGTAGGGGAGATCTGGAAGAAGCCTCTGGCTTCTGGCTTCAGATCTGCTGAGCTCCAGCTGTTGTGGCCATTTGGGAAGTGAACCAAAGGATGGAAAGTATTTCTGTTTTTCCATCTCTCCATAAGTTTGAACTGCCTTCCCAATTAAAATACACAGATATGGAAAATTCTATGTAGCTAATAAGAATAATAATTTGGAAGCATATCTTGTTGAAGCAAGCTGTTTTCAGAGCCGTTAAGACACCGCTTGATATGTCCACGTCATGTTGGAGTTCTAGTCCTGGATCTACCTTTTTTTTTTTTAAGATTTTTAAAAATTTTTATTGGAAAGGCATATTTACAGAGAAAAGGAGATGCAGAGAGAAAGATCTTCCATCTACTGGTTCACTCTCCAAGTAGCTGCAATGCCAGAGGTATGCTGAACTGGAGCCAGAAACCAGGAGCTTCTTGCAAGCCTCCCATGTGGGTACAGGATCCCAAAGCTTTGGCCCATCTTTTACTGCTTTCCCAGGCCACAGGCAGGGAGCTGGATGGATTGTGGAGCAGCTGGAACATGAACCGACACCCATATGGGATCCCAACACATGCAAGGTGAGGATTTAGCCACTGAGCCATCATGGCAGATCCCCACATCTGCCTTTTGATTCTAGTTTTTCATTAGTGTTCCCCCTGGGTGGAGCAGCAGATGGCTGCTGAAGTAGTTAGGTCCCTACCACATGGAGCAGACTTGAATTGAGTTCTAGGCTCCTGCCTTTGGCCTCATCTAGTCCTGACTGTTACAGGCATATGAGAATAAACCAATGGATGAAAGATCTATCTATCTCCACTCCCTCTCTGTCAAATAAGTAAGTAAATAAATACATTTTTGAAAGAATACTTGATTATTCAGAACATCCATACTATATTAAGTGTCAGGTTGAGTCGGGTTACAAAAAGGAATCTAGAGGATCATCCTTATTTAAAAAAAAAATTGTACAAACTGAAAGGAAAGCATATAACTAGTAAGTGTCTATCTTTGATGAGTGATATTATGGGTTATTTTTATTGTCTTTATTATTTCTGTATATATTAAATTTCTACAATCAACATTGATCATCTTTATAAAAACTAAGGCCTCAGCCAAGTAATTTTAAATAATTTTAAATTTTAAAACCAGACTTCTCAGCATCCCATGAAACAAGCTTGGCTTTCTCTGGGTTTTGTTTTTCTATCCATGATGCTAACACTCCACACTCCTTAGATCTCATAGTCTACTTTTGATTTTTTTTTCCCCTCACTCCCTATGCCCAATCTCTCATTGAGTCTCATCCTTTCTTCAGGACATTGCTCAAATTTTATTCTTCCTTTCTAGTTCTAAGCCATGTGAGCTCACTCCTACCTTCATGTATTGCCCCAGGGTGCAGCTGTCACTCCTGTTGTTGAACATTATCTGATTTGTTTTCTAACTTGTCTCCCTGCCCCTTGTCTCTCTTATAGCTCTTGAGCTTTCAAGCATTCTACCTTGTATTATGGCTCTCCCTGATCAAAACTCAACATCCCTTCAAGCCCCAAGCTCATCTTTTGTTTTGCTGTTTGAGGCTCTTTGCAGCCTCGCACCTTGTGGGGGATAATTCTGGACACATGGGAGGTGCTGGGTACGTTTTTGACAATGAACTACATCCTTAAAAAGCAGATGTGAAGCTCTCCAGTGTCTTCAGTTTGAAAATTCTTTTCATCTCCTTTTGGCACTTGGACCAGAAGCTTTGAAGCGCTTGAAGTCTAATGCTTCTGAATTTGGAGACAGGAAGTGGCAGCTGGGGATGACCTCAACTCAGGGTCCAACTCAATTTCCAATACCTACTCAGTAGAAGGCTCCATTGAAGAAGTGTGCTGAGTCCCTGTCATCACTGAAGATCAAGACCAGTAGTGGGGATTTTACCCTGTGCCATTTGCCTTGATGAAAAAAAGAGGAAGTGGGAAGGGATGAATGTAGAACAAAGCCTGTGGTGACGTGAACCCCTCATGAAACTGGCAGTCTCTAAGTGCCCCTGGAGGGCTCAGAATCAGCAACTCTGCCTCGGGGCTGGTGTGCGGTCCTCAGTTTAGACTGCTCCACTGGGAGTGTGTGGGGTGAAATGTGTGAGAGGAATTGCACATGGCAGGTGCCTGCTGTAGCTCTGTCGCTTGCGCCTGGGGAAACCCCAGGACAGCAATGGGAGTGGGACCCCAAGCTGGGCAAAGGAGCTATTTAGGCAGCAGCTCAGCCAACACCAGTGGCTGAGAGTCTCCTCCACCACAGCAGTATGGAAATGTGCCCTTATTATTTAAGAACCTAGTCTGAAAGGTCCAGTCCAGCCAAAGAGCTGCATAGTAGCGCAGCCTAGGATGCTGGCGCAGATCTCCTGGCACTAACCATGCCTTTCTTGGACTGCTGCTGGCATCTTTTGAGTTCCAGAAAGCTTGATGCAGCCCCACCCAACAGAAACTGATTCCTTACATAGCCCACTCTTGTCGTCTGGCTCGGGTGTCTTCAGCTTCCCTTCTCCCTTTCCCGCCCCTGCAGCCGTTGGCAGTTGGCACATTTCTTGAGTACATGCAGGCCCCTTTTGTCCTCCCTGGTGCCTTGGATGCCTGCCCCAGTTTGAGACTTTTCCCTGTTTTGTAAAATCATTAACTGTAAGAAGCTTTGGCCCTTGTAGGCAAAGCCAAGACCCTCTGCTTTCCAGGGCTGGGAGTGCCCTGGCTCACCCTAGGGAGTCCAGGAACCTGAGGACACAGCTTGAGGGAGCCACAAGTGTTCAGTGGCATCCTCAAGGTCTGAGGATAACCTCAGGGAAGTAATAGCGGCAGCTACTGTTGACTGAATACTATGCACATGCTGGAAGATGCTATTTTAAGTCCTCTAGGAGCATTTTCCTAGTTTATAATCTTCACAGCAACTGCAAGTTCCTGATTTTACCGATGGGGAAATTTCAAGAACTTAAATAACTTCATCTGAGATCACATAACCAGAAGGTTGTGGAGGGGGTGAGGGGATAACTCAGACATGCCTGATTTAAGAGCCTATGCTTTTAACCTTTGCATTTTTTTAGATCTCTGCAATGTCCTAGTGTGAGGGTCCATTGCTTTGTAAAGTCTCTTGGCAATATTTTCTGATCATGTATGGGTACACCCAGCTCATCACTTGGACTAATGCACATCAGAGTCTCTCTACCCTCTAAGAGAGGGTATATTATCTTATGTGACTACCTAGCTAGTAAGTGAGTTTAGAGGTAGCTCAAATATAAGAACATTCAGGGCCAGCCTGCTCCTCTTCTGCCCCTGCCTTCCTGCCTCTGATTAAAACCTCTTTGCTCTGTTCAGAAGTGTGGAGATGTATATTACTGACCTCAAAGAATGTGCATGCCCAAGAATCCATGATTTGCAAGTGGATGGGCTGTTTTGAGAGACTGAGACTGAGAGCAGCTGAGTGGAGAGCTGACACACTGGGCTTGGGAGGGTGCCACTGCCCAGCACAAGGAAAAATGGAATGGAAAAGCCACTGTCAATTTGCTTTTGAGCCTATTTTTCATTTTCTCCTTTTCCTCCCCTTCCAAATTAGGGTGAAGGTTGCCGAACTGTCCCCCTGGCTGGACATGTGGGGTTTGACAGCTTGCCTGACCAGCTGGTGAATAAGTCAGTCAGCCAGGGCTTCTGCTTCAACATCCTGTGCGTGGGTGAGTATTTCCATAGCAGGAAATTCTATTACAGAATATGGATCCTTAATGGCTGGATGTGGCTTTGCAGGTAATTAGGTTAAATAATGTGTCATTCTGATCTGATTGTGAGAGTGTTTCTCTCTCTTTTCTTCTTCTTTCATCCCTCTGCTGTTTTGTTTTTGTTTTTGCCTTTGCATGGCTATTGCTACTTTTTCCTTGGCTGGATCATAACTGTGTGAGACTCAGTGGAAATTGTGTATGGCAGCTGGCTGGCTTGGTTACTGTTATCAAGTTTATTTTGATTGTGGAAGACAGGAGCCAGGGCAGAATTGGGAGGGCGATGATGGCTGGAGGAAAGATGCCTGCTCACCACCTGTGGGCCTATCTGCTGTTTCCTTTGCAGGCTTGCTAAGCTTGGGACAGTTTGAGATCAAGTGCAAGTTCTTTTGTTCCCCTTACCTAGGTCTCTGCCTAGACCTTTTTTTTTTTTCTTTTTCTTTTTCATTTTTTTTTTTTTTTTACCTTGAATCTCAAACTGTGGGAGTCACATCTCATCCCTTGTGTGTTACAGACAGCTGAATGATGTTTCGGAAATGGATGAAGGAATTTATGCTATAAGGAACTACCTTTTGTCCTTCCCAAATGCTTTCTCCCATGAGCTCTTTAGGTCCTACTGAAACTCTGCGAAGTAGCATTCATAATTACACAGAATAGACAGACACCCAGAGATTTGGTAAAGGCAAGGGTTTTTACTCAAGTCAATGCACGAAAAAAGCACCAGAGCCACAACCAAGACTCAGATCTGGCTGGCACCTTGCTCCTCCCAATGTTTTTCTCACTGCTGCTGGCAACATCTCTCAGGAGCACATGGGTAGACATTGCATGTCAATCAAACAAGGATGAGGGACAGTAGTTCTTTGGTATTCTTCTTATTATTATTTTAGATATTTACATAGTCAATCAGGGTAGGAAGGATCGAGGGTTAGGGAGAAGTAGGTGTGATCAATGCTTCCAAGCTTTCTATTTCTTCTTCCCATTTCTGGGGAGGAGGGTGGAGACAAGGGGATAGGTCATGCCTAGCCTCCCAACCATCCCAGTACCTGAGGATGGGGAAAGGCCACTCGATGTCAACTCGGGGTCACAATGTGGCACATGCTCCAAGGGTTCTGCCCAGGTGAATATGATAGTTCCGAAATGCTGTTAATCCTGCCAATCTATAGGTGAGGAATCCCTTTCAATGTCCGTTGGCTGACACAATCAACCTTTGAGTCTCCATTTGCCCAGATATTTGTTGTCATCATTTGGCTGGGGTAATTGTTCATATGTTCTGTTCACCATTATCTGCTATGGTACCAAATGTCCTCTGCAGGCCCCAGTGGGCTACCATGTCCTTCATGTCCACCATGGTCTGCTGTCCAGCTCCTAGGTGGGTTCATGGACCTGAGCCAGGCGCCCTGGACCAAGCCGGACCCTCACCCCTGGGGCTTATGGATGCAGCACCCATTGTGCAGGCCGGCTCAGTGACCTAGGCCAGGAGGCTCAGGTCCCTCTGGACCGCCCCCACCATGGGGCTCACAGACCCAACACCCACCACGTAGGGGGCCCTAGGACCTGGGCCAGAAGACCCAGGGCCCTCTGGACCCCACACCCTTGGAGCTCATAGATCTAGCATGTAGGCAGTCCTAAGGACCTTGGCAAGGAGACTCCGGGCCCTCTGGACTCCATACCTCTGGGGTTCTCAGGTCTGGCACCCATCAACAGGTGGGACCAGTGGCCTGGGCCAGTAGACCCAGACCCCACTGAACTTCTTGCCCTTGGGGCTCACAGATCTGACACCCACCAGACAAGTGGGCCCTAGGACCTGGGCCAGGAGACCCAAGGCCCTCCGGATCCTCCACCCCTGGGGCTCATGGACCTGACATTCACCACACAAGTGGGTCCAAGGACCTAAGCCAGGAGACCCAGGCCCCACCAGACCCCATACCCTCAGGACTTACTGACCCAACATCCACCACGCAGGTGGGCCCAAGGGGCTTGGGCCAGGAGACCCAGGGCCCTCTGGACCCCACCCCGCCCCTGGGGCTTACAGATCCAGCCCCCAGTTGCACAGGTGGGCCCAGGACCCCAGGCCGTGCAACCAGGGACCTGATGGAACCCCCCCAACCCTGGGGGTCATGGTTCCAGCACCCACCACACTGGTGGGTCCAAGGACCCTTCCGTCCCTGGGGCTCATGGACTTGGCACCCACTGCCCCCAGACTGACATGGCTCATCTCTCCTTAGCATCCACCAGCAGGGTGCATCAGCCTGGTTCTATCCAACCTGTCCCCAGTTCAACCTTGTGCTGGTTAGTGCTGCAACCCAGTCATTCCCCCAGTCCCGGCTCAAGTGTGAACTGGCTGGTGTTGCAGCCCAAACTCGGCCATTCCTCACTCCATCCTGGCTCTCAAGATCTTTCAGTGAAGGTTATAAACTGACTCAGCTTGACCTACCCCCTGACCTGACCCATATGTATGTTGACGGGTATTGTAACCTGGTCTGGTTTGGGTTGCAACTTGCCTTGGTTCTTGTACTTACCGGCAGGGACTGCAACCTGACAAAGGAGTTCACCAAGGTGCTCTATCTGGTCTCCTCCCAGTGGCAGATCCTGTGCATGCTTGTGAGTCCCTGGCCCAGGTTGAATTCGTCCACCTGTTGTCCTGACAGGACCAATGTCCTTGCCTTGGCATTCTTTAAGACTGTGTTCTTAGACTTTGACAATTTTGAATTTGCAAACACAGAGTATATCATTTTCATCCCACTGTGCAGCACAGCATACCTGCATATTTTATGTGACCTCCATCCAAAACCTAATGATCGTAAATACCATAATAGAGCCAGTGTTCACACTGGCTGGAACACTCAAACACTTCTGTTAATTGCCTTTTCTTATTTTTCTATAGAGTGTATGGGGGCACTCATTCATGTTACAGATTCAAACCTCTACTGCATTGGTTATTTTACTCTTTAATGCATTAAAACATTCTGTTTCCCTGCTAAAGACATTCACTTTCTTGGGCTCTTAATTTTTTTCTTCTCCTCTGTCCCAAGCCCTCTTTTCTGGGTCATTTTCTGTAAGGAGACTCCCTGCGCAGTCAAGGACAAGTAGAGAACAACCAAGCCACATGTAAATATGGATTACAGACAGTCATCCAGACTCATTCGCTAGCTGAATTCCCACTCCCACGTCTACCTTGGAACCTATGTGGTGAAAAAATGTGCTTCATGAAATTACACAAATCTTGGCTGTTAACTTCTCAAATGCTGAAAGTCTAACTCATGGTTATATTTAGGTGCTATTAGAAGAGATGAAAAATTAATAAAAGTCATAATTTTCAACAACAAGTGCAAATGATACCACATCCAGTATCAGCACCACTAACTCATTGTTCAACTAATAAGACTTGAATTTTGCTGATGGCCAGTTTATTTCAACACAATTATGTAGGAATCCCTTGGGGTTGCCCTGAGAGTTCTATGCGGCTTGCATTGGTGTTGAGGAGATCAGAAGTGAAATGGCAGACCTCACCTAAACATTCCCTTTACAATCAAGGGCAATTGGATGTCCTAGTAAAACATTACTGGGAGACTGTGGATTAGAGTTGCTCTGTGATGGCAGAAGTGCAGGGTAATTTGACATGTAGGTCACAGAGGGGACCAGAGGAACAGGCATCCAAGCTCGAGGCCAAGTGAGGTAGAAAGGAGTAAACCACCGTCCTCTTGCTTTCACCTAGACATTGCACAGCAACAACTACTTTGATATGTACCTGCTATGATGGAATTGCCCATGCACAAGGACAGACCCTCTGAGAGGAAGGGGTAGGAAGGAGACCTTCTCACTCCCAGGGAATCACATTCTTTGTTTTCTCTCCAATTCTCAAAGTCCAGGAAATAAGGCCCAGAAGGGATTCCATATGGGCGCCGGTTTGTGTCCCAGCTGTTCCACTTCCTCTCTTGTTCCCTGTATGTGCCCCAGGAAAACAATAGAGGACTGCCCAAAGCCTTGGGACCCTGCACCCACATGGGAGACTCAGAAGAAGCTCCTGGCTCCTGGCTTAAGATCAGCTCAGCTCCAGCTGTTGTGGCCTCTTGGGGAGTGAAGCAGCCATTGGCAGATCTTTATCCTTTTTATCTCCTCTCTGTAGATCTGCTTTTCCAATAATAAAATAAAAAAATATATTTTTAAAAATCCAGGAAATGGCCACCCCAGTAAATCCCCTTTTAATCTGCACTTATAACCCCATTGCAGAGATTGCATTAATTTCATTTCTCATCCCTGATAAAAAAAAAAACAAAATAAAATAGCTTGTGCATGCTGCTCTCTTTCTGTGCTTATGCTCCTGTCATTGCTCCAAGAACTCACAGTTTGGGTCAGGGTCAAGATTGCAACCTCAGCCCAGCCATGGCACTGGGTCCTATTATTGTTCATTTGGCTGCTGAGGGTAATTTTTTCACTTGGAGGACTTTCAGCGACAGTACTTTCATACCTATTGTCTGTGCTTAACAGTCAGTTTTGCTTTCTTAATGACTATTATCAAAAGATTTTATTTGGGCATAAAATACTTGGTGTCTTCAAAAAAGTTGATGGAAAACACGGATTGTCTTCTAATGCCATTTGTCCACAAACTATTTAAAATTATTCTTGTGTGTTCTTCTAAAGTATTCTCTTTTCTTCTCTGATAGGATCTTTTCAGTGTATAGATATGGTAACACTGTGTTGTTTTCATATTACCATTGATCTTGGTGCTGGGCTACAGGCCTAGCAGGATAAGTGTAGTGCAAGCATATGTGTGTAAGCAGGGGTTAAAGGGAGGAGAGTTGGTACACATGTATGTGTGTATGTTGGGGGTGAGAAAAAGGAAGAGAGAAGGTTTATGAATCCAGAACCTAATTTATATGTAAGGGTACAAACAAACATCACCTACAGTTGTTATTTGTAGAGGGCTAGGCACATGGGCAATTGCATAGAATAATTCTGCT